TAGAACTTCCTATGTCTCTGAATGGCCTTAAACTCCAAGATCTGCTTGCATTTGTCACTTGGGATTAGAGATGTTGTGCACCAACTTGCCTAGGCCTAAGATTTTCATAGCCATAGTCCCTCAAGATCAGGATTAAAGTGTGTATCTTCTAGTCTCAAGATATAGATCGAAGAATGCCCTCGATTTCTGGATTGTAGTTAATTCCAGAGTAAAAGTCCAAACTATTCCTTGTTCAATGGCAACAAGACAGCCAAGAAGCTTGGCTTGCTGAGGTCTGGCCCTGAGATCATCACTCCCTTAATCTCTGTATCTCCTTGAACCAGGATTTAGCTCCATTTTACTTCCTGGTGCTACTTTATTATTTCTTGAACAATAAGGTTTTTTTTTCTTTTTTTCTTTTTAAGCTTTCTATGCTTGATGAGAATGTTCTTCATGAGAATAAACCAGAGAGCAAATTCTCTGCTGGACTTTTTGAAACTTCCTTCATCAAGAAAATTAATATAAATCTTTTTACTTTTGTGTTAATTAAACTCTACAAACAAGGGCAAAAAGCAGCCACATTCTTCACTACAGTACAAAAAAAGTCTCTAAGCTGCATACTAAAATTCTTCTTTACTAAAACTTCTTGGGTCAAGTCTGCACAGTTCAAATCACACTCTGCAACAAAGCCTTCCATATTCCTACTAGAATAGCCCCTTAAGCATTCCAGTGCTTCTCAAATCCACAACCCCAAAATCCACATTCTTCTAAACAAAAGCATAGTCAGGGCTATCACAACAATACCCTACTCCTGGTATCAGTTTCTGTCTTAGTGTATTATTGCTTGCAAGAAACAACAAAACCAATGCAACTTGTACAAGGGACATTTAATTGGAATTGGCTTATAGTTTCAGAGATTTAGTCCATTACTAATATAGGAGCATGGCAGCATCCGGGCAGATGTGTGGCTGTAGGAAATGCTGAAAGTTATACATCTTGATACAAAGGCAGACTAGAAAAGACTGGCCTCCACATAGCTAGGGGAAAGATCTTAAAGCCCACTCCCACACTGACACACTTACTCCAACCAAAATACATCTTCTCCAACAAGGCCGCATCTCCTAATAAGCCACTCCCTGGGCCAAGCATATTCAAACTACCACATTCAGATACAGTCAATCTTGGTGAAGAAGCTTCTTGCAGTGTGCAGTATTCAGTTTTGAGGAGCAGGACCAGTCACATTCCCAGTGGAAAGGCAGTACGTTCTCATCCCTATGGAGCCATTGTCATATACCTTCCTCGAAACACAACAACCAAGGCTCAGAGAAAGGATATGAGATCCAGCTGATGTGGGAAAGTTCTGTGATATCCTGACATGTAGACATGACATAGATATCTCACTTACAAAATCATAGCAGTGATATGCAACCTACACAAGATCAGGACAGACAAAATCCTCTGCCCTTAATGAATCACTATTGTTTGGTATCAGGTGCTGCAATAAAGAGGTTGATTCTGTTTTTAAGGGTATGGTCAACGGTTTTCATTGCTCCAATAGGTGCACTACAACCATGCACCTCTGAACATCATTAAGAAAATATTGTTTAGTGGAGAACATGTTAGGGCACAAGCAGGGCAATCTTGAGGAGGCAAGGAGGCGATGGATACAATCATATTTCATTCTGTATATGCATGAGATTTTGAAGACAGAGAGATAATATTAATACAGAAAATTGATAATGTTATCTACCATGGCAGAAACGAATATACACCTTAGAGATTATACATTACAACACATAGAAATGGAAAGTATACACACACACACACACACACACACACACACACTATATGACTATATGACTTCATTCTTATGTTTCTAAGTAGCAAGCAGGTGTCCTTCTGAGTTAGGCCTCAATGCTGGGATACCTGGAGCACTGCCAGCCCTCAGCTCAGTGGAAGCAGAACAGGTCTTTAATTATAATTCAGTCTGTGTTTTCTTTTGCTAGACAAGAAAGAGAAACCAATTTGTCTGGGACAAATGTTGTGGTTCCTGGTCCCCGCTTCCCTTCAGGGTGTCCAAGTCCCAGTCAGGAAGAAGGATGTAGATCCTTAGAGGGACAGAACTGGTCTGATTTTGAGTGAACACCAAAAGAAGAGTAGGGCTGGAGAAGATTTTCTTCTTCAGGATATTTTGTCTCTGCTCATTAAGATGTGAATTACGATGTGAATTAAGATTAAGTCTTTCCAGAGGCTATCCTTAATGAAGAGATGGTCCTTGCTTGTTTGTACTGGGTTATTTGATGGTGGATGTGAATGCATATACTTTATTTGTTGTGATATGGGGATTAAATAGCTTTTGTAGGAAGGAATGCCCAGGAAGATACTCTCACTGGGTGAGTGATAGGTTGTTATCCTCTTACCTCATTACCATGAAGAAGTAAAACCATCTGGCTCTAGAATTTATTACTTGGAAGAACTTTAATGACTGCTTTTATTTATTTAGGGCTTAGAGTGCTGTTTAAATCATTTACCTGATCTTCATTTAACTCTGGTAAAAGATATCCATCTAAAAAGTTGTCTACTTCTTTCAGATTTTCTGATTTTGGGGGGTACATATTTTTGAAGTAAGAACTAATGATTCTTTTAATTTCTTCAGTGTCTCTTATTATGTCTCCCTTTTCACCGTGTTTTTTGTTTGTTTATTTGGATTCTGTCTCTCTGTCTTTTGGTTAGATTGGCTACGTATTTGTCTATTTTGTTAATTTTCTCAAAGAAGTAGCTTTGATTTTGTTGATTCTTTGTATTATTTTCTTTGTTTGTAACTGATTGATATGAGGTCTGGTTTTGATTATTTCTTGCCTGCTACTCCTTTGGTGTGCTTGCTTTTTTCCCTAGAGCTTTCCATTGTACTTTTAACTTGCTGGTAAGAAAACTTTCAAGTTCTTTGTGGAGGCACTTAGTGCTATGAACTTTTCTCTAGCACTGTTTTCATTATTTCCTATATATTTGGGTATGCTGTGACTTCACTTTCATTGAGTTTTAGGAAGTGCACAAATTCTTCTTTCCTTTTCTGATCCAGAGATCATTGAGAAGAGAGGTGTTCAATTTCCACAAGTGTGTATGCTTTCTGGTGTTTCTACTGTAGAAGTTCAGCTTTAATTCAAGGTTGTCTGATAAGGCACAAATTGCAACTTCAATTTTCTTGTATCTGTTGTGTCTTGCTTTGTGACTGACTATATGGTCAGTTTTAGGGAAGGATCCATAACGTTCTGAGAAGTAGGTGTTTTGTTTTGTGTTTGGATGAAATATTCTATAGATGTCTGATATATCCATTTCATCCATAATCACTGTTACTTTAATTTATTTCTCTGATTAATTTTTATCTGGATTACCTGTCTGTTAGTGACATTCAGGTTTTGAAGTCTTCCACTATTAATGTTTGTACTTTGATGTGGGATTTAGCTTTTGTTTTTTTTAAATGTGGGTGCCCTTGTGTTTGCGTATAGGTGTTCAGAATTGAGATATCATCTTGGTAGAATTTTCTTTTAATAAATATGAAGTGTAGTTACCTGTCTCTTTTGATTAATCTTGGCTGAAAACCTACTTTATAAGATATTACAATGGCCACTGAAGCTTGCTTCTTGGGTCCATTTGCTTGGAAGGTTTTTATCTAGCTATCTACTCTGAGATAATGTCTATCTTTGTTTATGAGGTATGTGTCTTGTATGCAGCATAATGATGGATCATGTTTTTTATCCATTCTGTTAGCCCATGTCTTTTATTAGGGAATTGAATCCATTGACATTGAGTCATATGAATGACTAGTAATCATTATTTCATTTTATTTTTATGTTAATTGTTGTGGTAGTGCTGGTGCTAGTTGGGAGGGTTGTAAGTGTGTGTGTGTGTTTGTCTTGTGTGTTTGTTGTGTATGTGATTGGATGAGAATCCTTCCCTTAATTTGTTGGTATGGAGTTAATTATTTCCTGTTTTTTTTTTTTTGTTTTTGTTTTTTTTTTTTTTTTTTTTTTTTTTTAGTTGTAGCTATCGTTGTGTTGATGTTTTCCTGCTAGCATCTTCTATAGAGCTGGATTTGTGGATAGATGCTCTTTGAATTTTGATTTGTTTGAAATATCTTGTTTTCTCCATCTCAGATGATTGAGAGATTTAAGAGTTGCATCATTTCTCTCTATGCACTTCTATCTTTTAGAGTCTTTATTGAGAAATACATTATAAATCTCATAGATCTGCCTTTGACTGTTACCTGTACTTTTTCCCTTGCTTTCTTTAATATTCTTTCTTTGTTCTGTACACTTCGTGTTTTAGTCATTATGTGTCAGGTTTATATTTCTGGTCCAGTATAATTGGCGTTCTATAGACACTTGTATGTTTATAGTTATCTCTTTCTTTAGGGTGGAAATTTCTTTCTATCATTTTATTGAAAAAAACTTTCTGAACTTTGGAGCTATACTCTTAACTTTCTATTCCTATTATTTTTAGGTTAGTTCATCCCATGGCATTCCAGATTTTCTGGATTTTTTGGGGTCATAAATTTTTGGAGTTAACTTTTACTTTGACTGATTTCTTCTATTATATTTTCTACACCTTTGAGTATCTTGTCCATGTCCTGTACTCTGTTGACGATGCTCGGATGTGTTCCTAGTCTCTTCACTAGGTTTTCCATCACCAGGATTCCCTACGTTTATGTTTTCTTTATTGGCTCTATTTCTAACTTTCTTTATTGCTTCTGTTCTATCCGGAAAAGATTTTCCTGATATGGCAGGCTTCTGTATGGTTCTGGATCTACAGGTTTGTTCAGCAGCCACAGATCTGATGAAAGTGTGAAGACAAGTAGGTGGAGAAGGGCTGTCCCCATAGTATAGCGGAATAGCCAAGGCATATCAGCTTACTCCAGAGGACTCAGCAAGCTGTGAAGTTAGTTGGGTAAAGGACTATCTTCTAGCTCTTAATTGTTCTTTCAGTTAATAGGATTTATTATACTAGTAATGAAATACTCAGGCTGTTTATTTGGGATTTCTTTTATTTAGTTCTATAGGAATTTAAGAAAACAGAACAGATTCCTCCAGGCTTTTTGGCAAATCCTGTCCATGCACCACAGAAGATCTGTCTTGTCTCCACCAGGATGTAAGATGTCCTCTCCACTGTCAAGTCAGATTCCAGAGAGCATTCCCCAAATCTTCGAGATTATCTCTCTGCACAGCAGACTAAGTCCTAGTACAAAAATACTTGTTTGTAAGGGGTTTTGAATTATTACAGGAAAAATGTGAATCAGAAGATTTCATGTTTTACCTTTCACACTCATTGGAGAATCAATCAGGGAATTTATCTAGTCTTTTCCCACAAATACAGCTGTATAATTTCAAACAGTCAATGTTGTCTAGTTTTGTTTTAGATAAGAAAAAACATCCTCCATCCTTTACATTGTATTTCCTTGTGTTCAAGGCACTGAAGAACAAAACCAACAATGGACAACAGGTGAATTTTGAACATTCATTGTAATAAGCCATAATTTAAAAAATTCTACTCTAAATGTAGAGAGAATGTATAATTATTAACCATAAGTCCATCACTAAAATCCGTTCTTTTCTGTAAGCTTGCCCATCGTCGACAGCCTAAAGCCTTCGACCATCGATGTGACTCGTCTCACATCAGTGTTTTGGGGTTGTGAACTTGCCTAAGACCCCCCATAATTAGACATCCAAATTCAAAACTCACATAGTTGGGATTGAACATAAGACGCCTTCTCTAACTAAACAGAGAAGGGGGAGATGCCAGAAGCCAGGACCCTCGCCCTTACCCTTACCCCCTACCTTTCCCCACCTGCACAATGTCCTCTGAAGCTTGGCAACTGCAAGATCCTGCTTGCAACTGCAGATAGACTCAAACCAGAGTACCATGTCTTCTTAAGAATAGCAGGGAGACCATAACTCAAGCAGTGTACCATATCTTCTGAAGAACAGCAGGTAGATCATAATTCAAGGCAGTGTACCATATAGACCATGACATGTTTCAAGGCACAGGCCAAGAAGATTTTGTACTTTTCCACCACCTGGACCCTCTTACCCCCTCCCCTTGTAAAACATGCTATAAAAAAGCATTTCATGTTCAAAAAAAAAAAGAAATTAAAAAAAAAAATAGAAAAAAAAAACAAAACAAAACAAAAAAAAAAAACAAATGTCCCCTATGTCACAACAAAATCTCGATCTAATGTCACACTTGTAATTTTCAGTCAACAGTGAAAACTGATGTTCAGTATTCCCTAGGAATTAATTTATGCTGAACTTGTTCTCCCTCTTTAATCGTGTGGATAAACAGGCTAGGATAAAAGTAAAAACAGATATGTATGACACACAAAATATGGTCTTATAGGCTTGTACTTTAAGAAGAAAAGGAATGTTTGAAATACAAGCACAGATGAAGGATTGCACCTAGTATTTTAGACTGTTCTCTCCCTTTTTCTTCTTCACTTCCTCGCTAATGGGCCTTCATAGAAACATTATAATCTGCTGCATGATAAAATACAGAACATAAATATACTCCTTTTAAAAAAGTTAAATGCTGAAAAAAATCACAAAATAAATTAGAATACAGAGCAAATTAGCATGAAGGCCAAAACAGAAGGACTGTGGATTCTGGAACACTCTGAGATATGCAGCAAAATCAGAAGTCAAAAAGTAGTGATTTAACAATTAGTACTCTATTGTGTAAACCAACAGAAATCAGATTTCTAGTAAGATTGGGGTATTAACAGGGGTTGGATCAAATCTCAGACTGTCAGAAAAGCACTGGTGAGTCAGTTCTTTTTTTCCTGTAATAGAGAAATCTGAATAAAGAACACACTGGAAATTGAGATGCTTAATATTAGATCAATTGAAGTCTAGTGGGACAAAATTTTACTTCCAGGATTTGGAAGAGGAAGGTGGGAGTATTTGAGGTACAAGGCTTTCATACATAGAATGTTTGAGGCAAGACTCTGTTAATAAGACTCTATAAATAAAGTAAAGGGAATGGAAGCCACCCTACCTAAATTGAAATGAGACATTAGCAAAGCATGTCACTGTCTTTGAACTTTGAGTTTAAGAAGAGGAAAAATAGAAAATTCATACTTAACATATTTAGGGGTGTAAAAGAAAAAAGAAATATAAATTAAACTAAGTGTTGTCTGTTGCATAGACCAAACAGGTAAAATACATAGGAATGGATATGCACATAAGACAGCCACAAGACGTTCTAATAAGTAGAGTCAAGAAATGATATATGAATGTTGAATATAGACAAAAGGAACAAAGAACCCAGGAGAGAGCAGTTCATAAAAGATAATCATTAAAAGGGAATAAAATTTATGTTCACACAGTGACTTTCTCATGAATTTACATGACAGCTTCTGTAAATGTCAGAAATTTATAATTGTCAAAGGTTGGAAACATATATCTTCTTATGTAAATGGAGAAATATTTTGGAACATTTTTGCAATGCTAAACTGCTTTGTAATAAGGAGAATGAAACACTGATCTTAGAAAAATGCTTGATTTAACTAAAACATAGTAACAACAATAACATTTAATGATGCAGAGAAACATGGAGACAAACACAAATGTGTACACAGTATATTACACTCTGCACTAGGCCATATTCATTTATAGTACAAGAGAGCAGATGTTTGCTTGCCTGGGGTCAGATGTGGGGCAAAGTTCAATAAAAATCTTTAAAGCATAACATATTTTTTTTTTGGTTTGATGGTTTCTATTTCTGTGATAAAACACCATGTTCAAAGCAACTTGTAGTGGACAGGATTTATTTTGCTTAAATTTCAACATCAACATCAATAATTCAAGGAAGTCAGGACATGATACAATCTGAGCATCAGTTTGGAAGCACCATCTAATGCAGACATCAGGAAGGAATGCATCTTACTGTCTTACTCCCCAAAACTTGATCATCTTTTTTTCTTAGTGTATTCAATACCACCATCCCAGGGGTGATACTCACAATAGGCTGGGCTCTCCCACATCAGTCAATAATTAAGAAAGTGCCCTATAGGCTTGCTGATAGCCTTGCTTATTAAGGCAATTTTTTAATATAGGTCCCCTCCTCTCAGATGACTTTAGATTCTGACAGTTAACATAAAATTAATTTGTACAATGGTGTTTAAAAAGGTATATTTATTTATCAAAATTTACTTATCATATTATGCACACTGAGTACATTTTTACATAGAGACTCCAACTTCAAGACTTGGTTTTTAAAAATGTAACTGTCTGGCAAATAAACAAACAACAGCCCAATCATTTCAGAACTAAAGTACATGACAAGTGGATGCACTGCATGATCCTGAAGATGAAGAAATATCAACAGTGGCAGGATACAGAAAACTAACAAGTATGAATATGAGTTATGGATTCAAACATATTACTAGATCCTTGAAAATTTTTTGAGATTTACAATTTTAGGGTCATGATATAAAGGCAATTGCTTGATCTTAGAAAATATTTATATACATTGTAGTATTATAAAATTACCATTATTATTATTAGGCTTCATGAGGCAGATTTTTACTCTATAGCACAAAATGATCTCAGCCATATGATGAAGCTATCATATGCAGCTGGCCTTGGTGAATATCACTGTGTCTATAGGATTTCAATTTATCATCAAATAAATCAAAGTATGATAGAGAGAGAATCAAGACATTTATAGATTGTGAAAGGTCATTTGAGTTGCTTAAACTAGACAAACAAGTATTTGTTGACTCTAAATTTATATTTTACAAAAAATAAATGCATTCTTAAGAGGATTTCTTCTACATGCAAAAAATAACAAACTCTAGCCAACCAAATAGAAACAACTAACAAACAGATACCCTCAACTTCATCCTAGTTCTTTTTTTGTGTGTTTTCATTCTTTGGTAATTTCACAGAATAAACTGGAAGCACACTCAAAACGCACTCCTTCCAGGTATGCAATCACTCTTGTGACTATACCCCCAAATGAAGAAAAAGATGGTGGAAAGGATAAAAAATTGAAACAAACAAACAACAAACAAAATATCTAAAGAAGACCAATTTGTGTTGCCCTTATAGTAGTCACTGTAGCATTGTCAAACTTCCTGTGGCCAGACTCTTAAAGAAATGAGCCCTTCCCAACCTACACCTCTTCCAGAAGCCACAAACTATGGAGAACAATATAAAGAATCTGTATCATAATTTTTAAGAGTTCTCTTTGGTGACATCCGGTCTAGGTTGTGACTTTTGGGGTGTGGTGGTGACAGTAGGGATTGTTAAAGAAGACTTCTGAATTCCTCTTTCTCAACTGTGGGTATATAGTCACCAATACCATGGTAAAAGTAGCTCCCTTGCCATTACAATCAGCAGAAGAATAGAACAGGATCTTACACATGATTTCTGGATGCATTGCAGACCAAGAACATTCACATGTTCTCCAGCACCAGTACAGGTCATTGAAATTTGTATGACCTACAATGCCAGCTCAGGCCAAAGACAACAACATTGGTCCAGGCTGCTGTAGGATCATGAATATCCACATGAACCTTGAGCTTCAATATGGCTTTTGGCATAAAACCAGGGAGAGCAGTGTGGCCTCCAGGAGTAACATGGACCACCGAGGTTTTTCAAGGAGGCCTAATACAGAAAGACAGAAGTCTTTCAAGGAAGTCCAATACAAAAACAAACCATTATTCTTGGACAAACTTTAAAACTAATCCCTTTGCTTCCCCTACAGTGACTTTAACAATGGATTACCAGAAAATGCCTTACCCCTGTTTTGCATGATCTATTCTGCCAGTATCAGCTTTATCAAGAAATTCTATTCCCTCCTCAAAGGCTAAAAATTTATTCTTGATTTCTTTAGAACTGATAAACTGTGCAATTGTTTCTTCATGATTTGCTCCCTTAGGAAACTGAATCATTGTTCTGGTTTAAAGGTTCTAGTTTCTGATACATTGTCAATACTAGACCATTACTGAGACTAGCCTCTGGGATAGAAAAAGAGCTGAGTTAGCTAAAACATCACAGTGAGAACAATTACAGTGAAAGATACAGAGAAATACAGAACCAATTCCAAATATGTGCATAGTATATGATGCTTTGTACTAGGCCACACTCATTTATAGTACAAGAAAGCACATGTCTGCTTACTGAAGTCCAGGTCCAAGGTGCAGAAAAGAACTTTGGAAAGTAATAAAATTGCTTTGTTTTAGTTTGATGGTTTCCCTTGCTGTCATGAAACACCACGAACAAAGCAACTTGGGACAGTAAAGGATTGATTTTCTTAAACTTCCTCAACATTGCCCATAATCAAATAAATTCAGGACAAGGTTTTTAAAACAAAGTTTATTAACCAAAATATAGGTAACATGAACTTAATAGTAAGTGCATTAACGACAATTATTAATTTTTCTAAACTCATTAAAAATAAAAGTTCTTGAG